CGGCCTCGCCGAGAGGAGCCTGAGGGGAGAGGGTGACCGCAGGGTGACAGGGCAGCTGGGGCAGTCGCGAGCTGTCGGTTCATTTCGTGTAATTTCAGCCCAGCCTAGAAAAAAGGCGCCAAAGTCCAGGGCTTGCTGCCCAGCTGTTGGAGCAGAAAAGCATCCGGGGCACCTGCCAGCACAAGGGCAGGTGGGCTCCAGTAACCGAAGCTGCAGCTGTCGAAAGGCCTCTCTTTCCATCGCCTACACCTGTGTTCATGCTGTCCTGCGGGCACAGAGGCCAGGGCCAGGCCTTGGACACAGGTAGTAGCCAAGTCTTGAGAGGCTGTAAAAGATTCTTGAGCTCAGAGAGGCTTTTTGCCACCAAACTCAACATGGAGGGTAGTGCATGCCCTGGTCCGTTCTGCAATTCCTGATAATGAGTTCAAGGCTTTTGACAGGTGTAAAACGGAAAAAATAACACGGTTTTAAAAGCATGTTCCTCAGGTGAATGTATCTGCTGCAGTGAAATCTACTTTCTCTTCGCTACAGTAGAGTTACTCAATTTAAGGTTTTCCTTTTAGCGCAAAAACAGTCTCAGCATTCATTGACCCTAAAATGATGCCATAACCACATGTACCACTCCAGGTATTAAAAAAAAACAAAACTACAACCGAAAAACATGCAGCAGGTGGTCATCTTAGCAAGTTGCCTTTCTAACAATATTCTTGGACCAACTTGCAGAAGATAATAGTTAAGCATTATGTAGAAATAAGTTTTAACTGAATAGTTTGACATGGGATAAATTTATTTAATAAAACAAAGCAAGCAGATTGTAGTTACCCATGGTTTATGAAGTGCAATATGACAATCTTGTGTAATAAGTCTAAATCTGTTTACACATTAGTGCATCTAGTCTTCTGACTTTAGTTATTGCACATAGAAATTAAATCATATAAAAGACCTGCGTACGAGACATGCAGACTTCATGAAAGGCAAATAATGCCTACATAATCAGAGCAAACCCCAGAATATACACAGCCTGGAATGGTCAAGGAGGAGTTCAGGTAACAAATATAACTTACTAATATTTCAATTAAAGGTAACCAAAATAGGTGTCCAAATATATAATTAATTTTAAATATATTAAATGCTAGTTTTCTTTTATGTTTCAGGCAAGGTGCTGTTTAAAAAACCTTCAATATAATAGCTTCATTTAGAGATGGTAAATCATCGAGTTACACATGGAAATTCTGATTTACATCAAATGTGACAACACAACGTACAAAAAAGTTCTTAAAAAATTACTTCTAAAAAAAAGCAAATCATGTTATAAAAGGAGAGCCAAAACTCACCTTCTTTGTAAACTAAAATGTTTTCTGACATCCATGAACAGTTGGCAACGCTATCAGAAAAATATGTGTTAAATAGTGGATATGTAGTGTTCAAACAGTGAATTTCCTGCGCACATTTAGTCTTGACTCATTATACCAGAGAGAAATAAAAGGCAGCTCACCCTCCCCCCCCTTAGTTTTGGCCATTAATTAGCAGAAACAGTCTTTAATCACATCACTATCAGCTCGAATAACTGCAATGCTCAAACTCCTATTCCACGAAGTCAAAAAAAAAAGCCAAAACGATGCACGGGGTTCAAAATCTTCCAGCCACAGCTGTTTGCGCAAACATCAGGCGACCTGATGCCCGGAGCTGCGCAGCTGTAACGCGAGAATCCGGTCCCCTGCTCGGCCTGTAAACACGGCGCAATGGAAAAGACTCACAGCAACAAACTCGTCTCTAAGAAAACACCTGGGTGTGTAAGCAAGAGGCTCTGTACACGGTAGGTAACTAAGTACTTCTGGTAATGTGCAGTATTGACAGTTTATGTGTGTGCTCACGGCTTCATAAACATTCAGAATTAATCATGAGCCAAGGTGATTGTACCTCACTGTAAGGCGGCTTGCTGTGGTTTGGTCTCATGGCTTTACCAACTTTTTTCTCATTTACAAAAATCTGACAGTCCCACCTTCACTGATAGTTGTGTGTGTTTTATGGCTACTTGCTTCCCCCCAAAAAAAGCACAAGTTCTGTATGAAAAAAGTAATGTGTATATACCACACCGAATCGCAATATTACCTATACATCCAATTTACATTCTTTTATCCTGAAAGCATTTCATATTTCGATTGCTTGACACAAGCTATTGACTGCAGAAGTGAAAGAACATAAAATAGTTCATTCTACACCTCCAACTGCCTGAGAAAGAAAAATATTCTTCCAGTTTTATAAATTCATTCCTTATTTAGGATTTTTTTCCCATTTGGCACGCAGGTCCTTTGCTGCCAAACGACCTTCCAACACTTTAATGCACCTTAACATAGCAGGAAAACACGAGCGGAACAAAAGGTGCGTCAACGAGCTCCATCTATTACAGCTAGGTTCCTCCCTTGCCCAAAGAACGGGTCATCTTAGCCTCCGAGTTAAAATCCTGATGGCAGCCAGTACAAAAATAAATCAACTGCTCAATGGAATGAAACTTCATGTAGCTGAAGTACACGGGAACAATAACCAGGCAAGTGAGCACAAATGTATGGTTATAGGCAGTCCTTGGCAGGGGGCGGGGACAGTGGCACAAGTTAAGGGTGAGAACTACAGCACGGTTTATAAAACCATGTGAATAACTTTTATAATACTGTAAACTGCAAGAGTCTTCACATGTCATGGTTGATCAGAGGCCTCCGTGATCAGATCTTTAGGAGGGTATGTAGAGGAGCGCGGATCCATGGCTGAGTGCATTAAAGGAATATAAACATCATCCATGTTAGGCATGACGAAGATTTTCTGTGAAAATGATACAACGAAATAAGTTACATTTCATATGCCACTTGAAATCTTAGTTTTCTGCTTTGTTTAGTTAAAAAAATGCAGTAAATTTCCAGATAAAAAGTTCAGCATTACTTGAGTCAATGCCTGCGCTGAAGCCCTATGGTGTCCATCACCTCAAGCTATTTAGTGGTGTTATGGCTGTAGATAAAGCTCAGAAATACGAAGATCTCTGCATTTTCCATTAAATTGAAATAGTACTACAGGAAACATACCAACTTTTCTTAACTCTGCTGCTTTTTCAGCTCTTATACTTTCAAACCATACTTTGAATGAAATAAGGGGATTTGAGTTCTGGTTGACTGTACAGGTTGGAGTCTGGAATGAATCTAGTCAGTAAAAACTTTTCCTATCCTACAAGTATTTGTAGATTTGGAGTTTTTCTCTCATTTTGCACTACAGTCAACGCGGGCTTTAAAAAATTATTTTCAAGGCAGTAGTAACAGGACACATCACTGCCTCATCTTAATTTTAGCTCTCTATCATCCAAGAACACCTAGGATCGTGTTTACTACACATTCTGACATGGTAGCTATTTCAAAGAAATGGCATTCTTGGCTCTCAAATCCTTCTGACAAGTACTAAAGCAGATTTCCATTGACGTCTACACATGGTCTTGAGACCATCCCAGAAGTCTGTTTCAGCAGAGTTCTTAACATCATTTCCACTGCACAGGAGCAGCGGAGAGTACCAACTAGTCTTGAACAGAATAGGGAACATGCAAAAATTAAAAACCTCATCCCTTTAACAGACCGAAACTGCCACTAAGGAAATGAAAGTGTAAAGCAATCGCACCTGAAACTCTTGTTCTAGCTTCTTCTCTATCCAGTCAGTTACATGAACCAGAGTCACTTCTCTCTCACCAAGTTTTGGCCGAGCTTTTAACTCCAAGTAGGGAGGTCTTCGAAAGCCATACCTTAGGAGAGTACACACAACAGGCTGTTATACACCCCTCAACAAAGCACATACTTACATGTGTTGACTGTCAGCATTCTCTTAATAGCAGTTCATGCCTCATTTACAACTAGTCTGTACTGCACCTCTTCCAGAGCCCATTTCAGCTACGCTTTTTCCTTAGTTGCAATCCCTTAGGTAAGCACACGCCCAAACCACTGCCCGGCTCTGCGGCAAGGTCCTCTTACCATATTCTGTCAGTAGGTGGAGGTGGAATGTTAATTACTAGTGTTCCTCTGCACTCTTGTACTTCAACTGTTAGCAGCAATGGAGTATTGGAGACCTCTTCAATTTTCTTCTTAATAAACTCAGTCTCTGTTGCTTTTTGAAAGTATTTTGACTTGGTAATTTTATCCACAATTCTCATGATCTTACTTGTCCGATGTCCTCCAACATACCTTTAGATAGAAAATAGAAAAAGAGCAGAGAGGTAATTTTCTTAAACCTATTGTTTGCTAAGATATCCACACGTTTTCTATTAAATCATTAGAATTTTTATACCAAAACTCTAAACAGGTAAGCATACACATGTCCAAGCAGTATCTACCAGAGCCTGCACACAGCAACCATAATGTCAGCTACAAGTGTCTGGTAGAAATTCTGTCCAGTTTGAACACTCCTCCTCCCCAAATGGCAGTAGAAATACAACATTTTTTCAGTTGCAAATATATTCACATCATTTATGCCAGCAAGCTGGCATGAGGAGCGACAACTCGACTACTACTGTTCTAACAAAATTGTCAAGAGACAGATGCACCGAGAAATAGGCACATAACAGCACAGAAGGCACAACGACCATGTCTGATCTATTTAACAGTGTGTGATGAACAAAAAAAGTTTCATTTTAAGGTACTGTAGCATTTACAACAAGTATAAATGTGGTAAAAAACCAGAAGGATGGTGATTTTGGCAGTGGGTGGAGTAATATTCCAAAAATGGTTAACTATGCCTGCAAAAAGAAGCTACTTTTCCTGGCAGTAGTGTCAGGCAGCCTTTAAAACAGATGCTTTAGGGACTGAAAATGTCTTTTCTTGCACCCAACCCAACTTCAGAAATATACTCTCTAAGAAAAGCACATTTGATATTTTCACACACTATACTACATCTAATTGTGGCTCTTGATGTTATGTAGTGGAGACCTTGCTAACGAAATAACATTTTCCTATCTTGCAAAAAAATCATGTTTATCCAGCCTTCTACGGAACACTTTCCTTAGCATGAGATAAGACAAGAAACTCCTCATCTGATGTAAAAGGGTGAATTATAATTTCAATTTTTGGATTTTAAGCCAGCTCTAGCTTCGCTCAGATAAAGTAGTTCTTCTCTCATCACATTCTACAGTGACAGTAATGCAGATTTTTGAAAGATGTAAGTAAATTCTTTCAATATTTTACTTCAAAATTCTTTGTTTTCCCTCTTTGTCCTTAAGAGCTCTTTATATGAGCTATATATTTTTTAAAGATATGAAATGCATCTATTGAAATAATTCCAACAGTTCATTGCATAGTTTTCAAAAGGTTTTATGAATTAAACTCCAAGGAACTTCCCTTGAACATGTCTGAACACAGAGCCTTTTGGTACATTCACCGTAAAATCAGTGAGACGTGTTCAGACACAGGCAACACGGTGATTGTCTAAGGCATTTCAGTGTTACTATGGATTTCTCATTAGATGCCATAATTTCAATCAGATGGAAAAAGAAAAAAAAAAAAAATCAGAACATCAGCCAAAATAAGGAATGACATGGCAAAAATGGTGATAGGAAATTTTCTTTAAAATTCTTGCGTGGCATCAGAGGGCAGCATTGCACAGCTCACACACTGAAAGCCCTTCAAGGGAAAATAAATAAAGAAGATGAAAAGCAAACCAAAACACAAAACCCTGAGCAAGAAAGCTAGGCTTGAGAAACAGCTGTTTTCTTAAAGAACACACTGGGAATACGGGATCAGCAGTAGAGGTGTAATACTGTGTACAGATAGAGTTGTTTCAAGTTCACACACAAAATGCCCTTCTCGCCTCTACTGCCCGGCCAGACACGCTGCGGAAGGTCCCCACAGGTTCTCTGGCCCAGAGACTCGGCTCTCTGTAATCCAATAGTGAAGAAATCAAGAGGGGTTAAGAGGTGTCAACCGGAGCACTGCACAGGCCACTCTGCAGAAGTGCTGCGAGGGCGACCAATGCTCTCGGCACGGTAAAACGCTCCCAGCATGGTAAAACACTCCGCAGAGCGGCTTCCTTTCAGTTTGCAGTATGTGGCTCGATTGTTGCTCTTTGCTCTAGAAACCGGTGAATTGTGTTTGCCTGATTGCTTGGATACACTCACGCTCTGACATCCCGCGTGACCACGAGCATCACAGGGCTGGACCCAGTTATACCACATCTGGAAATGGGGAGGGGAACGAGAGGATTAACGAACACTACGTAGACAGCTCACCCTTCTGCTCCTGGGGTCACCTGCTTCTCTCCTGCCAGTTCAGGAGCATCATCCTCTTCTGAAGATCCAGCACTGGAGGATTCCTCATCGCTGTCTGCAAGACAATACGCCCTTGGCCTGAAACTGAAACAATGCGATTTCCAGGTCAAATGTAATATTCTTGATTAGCAATTCATCATGTACAGCTTTGGCTGACGCTACACGTATTTCTGTTAGAGGAGGGGATATTTCAGAGTCTCCTTTTTGACAATATCTAAAAGAACAAAATCACTCTGTCAGAACTAGCTTCAAAACAGAAAATTTGCTTTCACTGGTGGAATGCAATCCTGAATAAAAGAGGATGGCAGGAGAATGGCTATTCTACATACTAAAATCAAACATGGAGATTATTTGAAACACATTTAAAAGAACCTCTGTTGCTGCTCACAGCTTTCTGTGGAAGTTGAGCAGTATGGACAGACTTTTTCGTTCATTTTTAAAACTCGGACAAAGATAAGCTTTTAAATTGAAAGGTGAGAACATGCTGTCTTGTACTAAAAGCAAACCTAGGACTCCAGCTGAAAATGAAATCGTCTACCCAGAATCCCTCAGAGACGTTAACTGAGGTGCTAACATATATACCTCATCTTCACACCGTATATACCTTATCTTCACAGCACTTCTAACCCAAGTCAATAAATTCCACTTTGCCTACTCACACGCACCTGCAATTTTTGCAATGCAGACATATCTCCAGCAATGGTAACTCATGCAAAGTACAAGAGAATCCATCTTTGTTATCTGCCTCCAAAAGGAAACACATAACAGTGGTGGAGCAAAGCTGTCTCAAACTAGCGATTCCCCTTACTGTAGCTACAGGGTGTGTCATCACTTAGCAATTTTTGTAGAAAAAAGGCAATTAGATTAACAGAAGAAGCCCAGAATAACCCTGGGAAGTACAATTTCTTAGATGTTTTGCAGAGATTCACTTGCCCCATACAAGTTCAGGCTATAATCTCCCTTTAGTATCTTCGCTGGAAATATTCGTTTCCCTAATATATTT